ATTGCTAGTACAATTTTCATTTTTTTCACTCTCCAAAGAACTGAGCACACATTACCTCTCCATCTGCCCACTAGCTGGCATAGTGGGAGCAGGAAGCTAGGGCTTGGGACCTGGTTCCACTGACTTTCTTTGTGTACAAATCCTTTCCCCTACCTGGTGTGGCGCTGCAGGATAATGTGTTGGACTGCAAGATCAGTCTGAACTGCAAGGTCGGTGTTTCAAACCCACCAGCCGCTCCTTGGAAACCCTATACAGGGTTGCTATGGGTCGGAAGTGACTCAACAGCACTTAACAAGAAATCAGAAAGTGGGCTTAAATAACCTCCTCTACAAAGCAAAGGGGTTGAACTAGACACTCTCGAAGGTCCCTTCCAGTTCTAATACTCAGGGGTTCCTTACGAGCTTAGAAAATGTTCTAATCAGAACCCTTGTACACTGTGGACATTGGTGGAAAGAAGGGGAAAGAAGACAGTGAAAATAAATATAAAGCAGAGCTATTCCCAGATTATGGAAAATCTGGGCAGATTCAGGCCGTTTGTTGGAGTTGGAAATTTAGAAACAGATGGCTTTAAGGAGAATCATGTGGAGCCAATTGATTTGAGCAAAGATGTCACCTTGAGGACTAAGGTGCGACTGACCCAAGCCATGGTATTTTCAGTAACCTCATATGCATGCAAAAGCTGGACAGTGAATAAGGAAGACCGTAGAAGAATTGATGCTTTGGCGTTATGGTGTTGGAGGAGAATATTGAAAGTGCCACGGGCTGCCAAAAGAACCAACAGATCTGTGTTGGAAGAAGTGCAGCCAGAGTGCTCCTTGGAGACCAGGATGGCCATATTTTGTCTCTCACACTTCGGACATATTGTCAGGAGGGACCAGTCGCTGGAGAAGGATATCATTTTTGGTAAGGTGGAGGGTCAGAGAAAAAGAGGAAGACCCCCAGCGAGATGGATTGGCAAAGTGGCAGCATCAATGGGCTCAACCGTGGCAACAATTGTAAGGTTGGCCCAGGACCAGGCAGTGTTTCGTTCTGTTGTGCATGAGGTCGCTATGAGTCGGTGCCGACTCGATGACACCTAACAACAACAAGTTGATCGCTAAGGAGCCCTGGTAGCAGAGTGGGTTAAGCTTTGGACTGCTAACCTCAAGGTTGATGGTTCAAACCCACAAACTCCGCTGTAAGAGAAAGATGAGGCTGTTGGCTCCTGTAAAATTTTACAGTCTCAGAGCCTCATGGAGCAGTTCTACTCTGTCCTAAAGGGTCACAGCGAGTCAGAAGGGACTCGATGACAGAAAATTCAGTGGCAGTTGGTTACTGGACTTGAAAGAATGGGAAGTCTACTTTTCTAAAACCTGGATTTTTATGAGAAGTTTGCACTTTCTAATTATTGCCAACTACTTTTATTTTAGGAGTCCTGGTGTGACGCTGTGGGCTAATGTGCTGGACTGCAAGGGTGGCTTGAACTGCAAGATCAGTGGTTCAAGCTTACCAGCAGCTCCTTGGAAACCCTATGCAGGGTCACTGTGAGTCGGATCTACTTGATGGCACATAACAACAACGCATTTTATTTTGAACTCCCAGTGTGGTGCTGTAGGCTAAGCACTCAACGACAAGGTTTGCAGTTTAAATACACCAGCTGCTCCTTGGAAACCCTATACAGGGTTGCTATGAGTTGAAACTGACTTGATGGCACTTAACAACTTTGATTTTAGGGAGCCCTGGTGTGGATAAGCACGGGACTGCAAACCACAAGGTTGGCGATTCAAACTCATTAGCTATTCCTTAGAAATCCTATTCAGTGAGAATCGCTGAGTCGGAAGTGACTTGATGGCACTAACAACAGCAACTTTTATTTTGGAGTCCTGGTGTGATGCTCTAGGGTAAGCACTGGACTGCTACCTGAAAAGTTGGCCATTCAAACCCACCAGCTGCTCCCTAGAAACCCTGTACAGGTTTGCTCTGAGTCAGAATTGACTTGGTAGCACTTAACAAAAACAGACTTTTATTTTAATACTATAACAACATCAAAACACTGCATGAATCAAACAAGCATTTCTTCAGGCTGAATTCAGGATGCTAGCCCCCAGTAGGCAACCTTTGAAGGAGATTTTCTCTTTTGGGAGCCTTTGGAGAGAAGTCAACATAATTCAGCCTTGGGGATTTCACAGGAAGGAGAAAGCTGAGGGAAGAGAGAATATGGAGGTTAGAGACAAACAGAACTAGTCACACATAGCAAGGACTGTTTGCATCTTCTCAGGTGCCATCCAGGAGACTCTGTCATAGGGATCTAGAGTGTAGGAGAATGTAAGCAAGAATGTCACCAGGAACCAGTTTCTTTAAAAGTGCATGGGCTCAGTTTTCTTGCTCAGATAGATCTCAGACCTTCTCATGCAGAACTATGTACAGCTTGATAATTTTTTTGTTGTTCCCTTTGAGGCAGACAAATGGAGGCAGCCTTGACTTGTTCCTATCACTTGAGCAAGAACTGGAACAAGGGCAAAAACAACCCATAATTCCAGAGGCCAAATTCAGGGTCGGTTTTCTCTCTCCAAGTTAACATTAACCTTTAGGTAAACGGAGCCACTCCTCCTTGAGGACTCAGTACAGGAGTTGTGAAGGACTAGGGGAGTGGAGCTAGCTGTTTACTTGCAAGGAAGGGAGCAGCCCAAGGTCAAGATTTCACATATCTTGGTCCTCTTGAACTTTAACAAGAATGTGGCTGTTCACTGAGAAGCATGGCTCCTCAGGGCTCAGGTTTCACCGGTCACTTGCACTGACCACAACTTTCTCCTCCTGCTCCAGTGTCCACATAAAGGACCTTGAGTACAAGTGGCAGCCCTCTTCATCAAGGAGAGAACGAATAGCAATCTTTGTCTGCCTTAATAAGAATTGTGCCTTTCCTCTTGAGGTGGTTGTTGAGAATTCAATGCAATTATGTATATGAGGATGCTTTGAAAAGCCTAAAGTGCTATACCCTATGTTATTGCTATTGTTAAGGGCCATCCAGTCGGTTTCCACTCATAGCAACCCTGTATAGGGTTTCTGAGGAACAACTGGTGGATTTGAACTGCTGACCTTGTGGTTCAAATTGACATTGCAGTTGAGTGCTTATCCTACACCAAGAGTCTATATCATACCCCGTATGGATTTACTATTAAATTATTTGTAGGTAACTTCCATAGTTAGCTTCACATTGTCAGTGTTTATTTGGGAAAGGGGCAGATAGAGTTGGAAGGGTACTGAGGGAAGATAAGTCCCAAAAGATGGTAGTGCTCTGGTAAGCCTAGTATAATTATAGATTACTAGTGGTAGTCCAAATTGTTGGAATCCCTCTGGGAAACAACATGGTGAGATATTTACATGTATGTGTGTATTCCTGGATGGTACAAATTAAGCACTTGGTTGCTAATCAAAACGTTGGAGGCTCAAGTCCACCCATAGGCACCTTGGAGAAAGGTCTGGCAGTTTATTTCCAAATAAAAAAAACTAGCCGTTGAAAATCCTATGGGGCACAGTTCTAGTGACACACATGGGGTTAGGAAAGACTCCACAGCAACTGATTGCTTGGTTAGTTGGATACACACACATCTAATATATGCATAGCCACACCCAAAGCTATATAATTATATATTCATTAACCCAGTATCCTGCTTCAGGAGATTTACCTTAAGGAAAGAATTCTAAAGAAGTAAAAGACTTTCTTACATGAAAAATGTTCATTTTAGAGCTATTTATATAAATATAAAAATGGAAAGCAGTGTGCATGTCCAACAAAAGGCAATAGCTGCTTAAATTCAGGCACAGACCTTTAATGGAATAGCACACAGCTATTAAAAAACAGAAACATGGAAACTTTGCCATAACTAAAGGTTGTTTATGATAGGATGCTAAGTAGGCACGAGGCAACTACTACAAAATCATTTATGTGTTACAATGATAATTGTATAAAAATAATTATGCTTAGAAATCAAGAATACATAACGAGTCAGAGTTGCTATGTTAGAGTAGGAGAGAGTTTTAGGTGATTTTCTACCCTCTCCCATCTTCCAGACATCTGCCTTTAATGTTATATTATTTCAGTAATAATAAAGTGGTTTGTTTTTTTTCACAAGCCAAGAGCAGGTAGTAAGTAGTAAGAGAACTACAGCCAACAAAGGAGAGGGGCAGAAATAGTGAGAAGGAGGTTGGTAGGCTCTTAAGAGGTAAAGATGAGAGGGCACAAGAAAGTTGAATTTTGGGGGAAGGGAACATGAATCAGTTGGGCCATGGCCATTCTGAGCTGCCCAAAGATAGACCAATCATATTCTTAAGGATTAATGAAGCAAGGACATTAAAACATTAAAACATTTTTTTTTTATATTTGAAATTTCAAATATCAAAGATGAGGGAGGGGAATGAAAAATTTTCTGGGTTGTGTTTTTCATTAGATGATGGGGGAGATAGCATCTAATTTCATAGTTGGGGGTGTCTGAATGTGGCCATCTGACCCTGGACTATAAGTCAGTCCCTACTCTGGGAATGTGAGTTGTATTAGCTTGCAGCAGGTTTGAAGCAGTGTTGAAACAGTTAAGAGACCTTCTCAGAGCACCTCACCTATAGCCTCTGGGACTAACTCCCTCACCTTGGAAGGCTTAGGGCTTGGTTCTGAGTGGCTGTCTCCAGACATTTGCTTACTTTAATAATAAGATTGTTTACCAGGTAGTACCATGCATAGTGTCTCAACTTGCTTCTCAAATCCCCAAGAGGGCAAAACCAAGGCCAGGATTGGCTGAATGAGTCCCCAAGGTCATATTCAGCAGTAAAAGATGGAATCAGTGTCCTCCCCAGCTTGCACCAACCCTGGTGGTGGAGTGGCATTTTCTAGACCACAACTCATCTCCTTGCCTTGCTTTGAAACCCAAGTTTACCAATCCACTTGAGCAAGGGAGGGGATCCCCCTGCAGGTGGATTCATGTAACTGCTGCTCCCTCTCCCCCTTCTCCAGGGGCCTTGAATATTTCCCCAGAGACTCCTCCCAGGCCACAGAGATGCTGCCTTGTGACACTTTGGAAAGTGAAGAGGGGGCAGATTCAGAAGAGAGGGAAGACGGTTCCATAGAAGGTCCAGGAGAACCCATCACCCTGGCTTTTGTGAGAGAGAACACTGGGGCACAGAAGGGGCTTCAGAATGCCCATCAGCAAGGCAAGAAGAAGAGGAAGAAAAAGAGGTTAGGATTGAAAGATGGGAAGTGGGCTTGGTGAGAACAGGAGGGAGCTGGAGAGCCTTGGCTGCTAAAGAAAGGGTAAAGGAGAAAGAATACAGAAATTGTATGTGGGATTGTTAACATCACACCACTTTTGGGTTGTAGAAATAGAATCCACTTTTGATGATTATTTTATAAAATCAAATAATTGCTGTATAAATTAAATCCATAATTTGTCCTAATTCCTAATCTTCATTCTATGAGTATTTGTCTCTAAAATACCCCCCTTTTTTTAAATTGGTGGGAAGAGAGGTGTTTTGTGTTCTAAAAAAAAAATGCTTATCATACTGTGAATTTTGTTGTTATGTTGTTAAATGCTGTTGAGTCAGTTCTGACTCATAGAGACCCTGAATAGGGTTTCCTAGGAGAGGTTGGTGAGGTTGAACCTCTGACCTGGTGGTTCAAATCGACCTTGCTGTCCAGCGCATTAGCCCACAGCGCTACACCAGAGTCCATTGGGAATTTAATACATTTACAGGGATTTGAGTGCAACTTCTGTGTTCCACTTCTTGCGTTATATTTTCCCATGTCTGACTCTATTCCAGGGGAAAATGAATCGCCCCACAGACAGACGCCAGAAAGTTTGCCCACTTTCTAACTCATGGCTTCTCTTAATTGGAGGAAAGTAAAAGGGACAATCAAGTATTTTGGCCTCAAAGATTTTCTGTTCATGTCTCTGGTGAGCCACTGGAGTAAAAGGGTTGAGGAGGTGATGATGTTAATAAGAAGCAGCAATCAAAATTAGCTGTAGCTGCAATTCCAAATGTCTACTGCATGGACAGAGTAATAGTACTCTGATTATATATTTTTTTCTGTCACTCTATACCCCTTAGGGGAGTCCTGGTGTATCTCTCTAGGATAAACACTGGACTGCTAAGTGCCAGGCCAGTGGTTCAAACCCACCAGTTGCTCCTTGGAAACCTTCCACAGGGTCTCTATGAGTTGGAATTGACTGAGGGCACTTAACAACAAAACATCCCCCTTTAAATTCCTGTCCTCAGTAATGGGAAAGGTAGAATCATACTGCAGAAGATCAGGCTGCCCCAACAGGTTGGATTTTATCAGCTCCACCATGGATGGATGTTTCTGGATACAGTTACTTTTCCGGCAAGCGTGTCTGTCTCTGTCTTGCTGCTTTCCTTCTTCTGTTTTCCAGATGATTGGTGATCAATCTAACCAACTGCCGATACGAGAGTGGTGAGCAATTGCCTAAGGGATCTATGTTGGGGACCCAAAGGCTTGGGAAGGGTCACTCCTGTGTTTTCTTGAGAATAAAATGGGCTGTCTTCGAATCCTATTCTTTAGTTCTCTTTCCAAGAACTCTGGGTTTTGTCCACAGTGGTATGTTCTCCAATATCTGTAATTCTTGTATATGATGCTTCGGGGATGTGATTACTGAAAAGGCAGCTGTTGCTGCACTCAATGGGTCTGCTTTAGAGCATGAGTTACAAATGAGCAGTCCATGGGTTGAATGTAGCTGACTATTTCATAGTGCAGAGCACAGGACTGTTGTTATTTTGAATTTGAATGCTGTAGGTCAGTGAGGGGCTCTCCTGTCCTCTACAGGCACTTCCTTCTGCTCAGGCCCATGCAGACTGAATTTGTGTTGGAGGCAACCCCTGGCCATTAATATCACAGGGACAGGACAAGAAGGGTAGCATATATATGGCTTTGGGGAATTTTTTTCTGGCAGTATCTCTCACTAATCAAGCTTGGTTCTGACTGATGGTAAGGATTAGTTGTACTCCTTGAGCATTCCGTGGCTGAGTGTTTGGTGGAAAGCCAGTGGCCTGCTTCCTGGCAAGGGGAAGCCAGGGTGGGTAAAACATCCACCAGAGAGACCTTTCCATGGGAAGCTTAGAGCATAGGCTGTGTCCTTCAATAGCTTTGTATTCTCCATGTTCCTTTCTTGGCAGTAGTGAGTGTCCAGACAGGACAAGATAGTTACCAGTCCTCAGGAGACCAACTCACCTTTAAGTGCTTGGTCTGGGAGCACCTTAAAGCACAGCCTCCTCACCTCATGCACGTGCTCCTTCCCCACTTCCTGGACTAACTAACTGGTCTTTCTTTCTCCAACTCCATCACAGTGCGTAGGGCTGCCCAACAGTATGGCCTTCGAGAGGGAGGGGAAAGCGATGACTGGACTCTCTACTGGACTGACTATTCAGTGTCACTGGAGCGGGTGATGGAAATGAAAAGTTACCAGGTATCTGGGTCAGAGCTGGCCCTCAGTATAAGTGTGGCATCTACCTAATAAGGCTGCCAGTGAGGCCCCGTTTTATAACTGTACCCAACAAGGGAATCTCTTGAGTAAGTTCCCCCATTATTCATGAATTCTGGCTTCCTTTGCAGAAAATCAACCACTTCCCAGGGATGAGTGAAATCTGCCGCAAAGACTTGCTGGCTAGGAATATGAGCCGAATGTTAAAGATGTTCCCTAAAGATTTCCACTTTTTCCCTAGGACCTGGTGTCTTCCTGCTGAGTGAGTGTCCACTTGTGCTCCCATTTCCACTCACCACCCCAAGTTTTAGTTCCCTTTTGCCCCTGATTCTCTAGTTACTACTTTCCCTTCCCAAAGGTTCTCCCATTCCTCTCTGTACTGTTCAGGAGGCAAAAGAATACAGGGTATGTCCAAGGTTGAGAAAACACAAAGGCTTTGCCTATAAAATTAGATGATATTTCGGGGCAGGGTGACTTCAGTTGGGCTGAGCATTTGTTCTGAAAAGAGTTTGTTGTGAATTCCAATGTACAAAGGGGCTTCAGAAAGTCTGCTGAGAAAGGGAATGAAAAGATAATGAATAGGATTTTCCACAAACTTTTTCAAGCCCCCCTTGTATAATTGATTGTTCCAACTATCTCTTTGTGCAGTTTCTGAATTCTTGAGCACCAAGAACACCTCTGGAGAGAGTGGGGTAATGGTTAGCACCCAGGCTAGGAGCAGGGAGTGTATCTGCCTTTGTTCCAGGGCAGTGTCTGGAACGGTGAATGACACTTGGCCATTTCCCTTTTCTGGTTTCATTTTACGCATCTTGATACTGGACATCCATCTATTCCTGGTACCACAAGTGCTCTAGACTACATCATCAAGAAGCAGGAGAAATGTGGGATGTCATGAGCATAACCAGGGGTACAACCTGGCTGTGGGGATGGGGTAGGGTAGTGAAACATTACCCTTGCGTTTATTTTCTAATGGCAAGGACATCACCCAGCACTCCCTACCCAAGAGACAGCAGGTCAAAACCAAGAGTTCCAGGTTTTCCACCTCTTTCTCTTGTCTGGAAAACTCTCAGGGTTAAGCAGCAACTAGAAAAAAAAAAAGGTGCTTCCCATCAGATTCCAAGGTCACGCAGGAACATTGTGGTTAAGTGACTTGCTCAGTGGTCACAGGTTTTCCTCGGCATTAAAATGCAAAACAAGAGGCATAATAAGATGGAGACTCACAATCCATTAATTTGGTTTCTTTCTTTCTTCTGAATGTACTTTCTTCAAAGTACACTCAAAGAATGTAGTTTGCCCTCCTACATTTGCAGTACTGGTATGGCACTGTAAGAGCACGGGACGGCTCATCACAAGGTCAGCAGCTCAAACTCACCAGCTAGTCCTTGGAAACCCTATACAGGGTCGTTATGAGTTGGAATAGATTCGATGGCCCTTAACATCACAACCACACTTGGGCTGAAGTAGAGGTGTTACAGATGAAAACCTGTAGCCCAAAGGAGGTTAAAAGACTGAAACAAGGTCACAAAACTTGTCAGGGTATGAGCTAGCTCCACATCTATGTACAGGCCCAGAAAGTTAACCTACCCAGATCATTGCTGCCTTTATGGGGTACACAGTGTGTATCAACACTTTTCCCGCATGAATACCTGGTGATGAGCATGTATGATAATGAGAGAGGTATCTTTATCCTAATGGAATAGATGATGAAACTGAGGCTCAGGCTAGCAAAGAGCTAGACAGCTGGTGAGTGGTATTGTCTGAATTCCCTCCAGAGCCCACACTCTTTCTGCTGTGTATGTGCGTATGTGTGTGTGTGTATGTGTATGTGTGTATGGGTCTCTCTAGCTGCCAAATCTTTGGGTGTCTGTCAATATCAGGGCTTTTGTCATATGAGTTAGGGTTTCTTCTTTTCCATTGCATCCCAGCTAAAGGTGTATCTCTTTCCTTCCCTGTTGTGGTAGCTGGGGAGATTTGCAGAACTATAGCAGGTCAAGAAAAAATAAGACATACATTTGTAAGCCGGATTCAGGCTGCCAAGGGAGAGGTATATTCATCACACGGAAGGTGAGAGAAATCAAGCCAGGGGAGGATATGATCTGTCAGCTCTATATTTCAAAGGTACGTCCTCATTGGGATAATTTATCACCCATGGCAACCTCAGGCTTTAGCTTCACTGGAAAGAATGTGAGATGGGGAAATGAGAGGGAGCAAGGCTGAGTCTTGTCTTCTGTATTGGACTTTGTCAGGCCAAGCCTTTAGAACAAGATTGCTGATAAGCTCTTGGGCCAGAGTGTCCCTTGCCCTTGTCAGTTGGTCTAGCCCTACCAGACTGGCCCCTTTCCTCTTACGGGTGACAGCTGTCATCTGGGGGCAGGAGTAGGAGGGATTGTGGTAACTGGTTTTACTCCCTGGCTGGAGGTCAGAGGTCACAGTGGCATAAGCCTATTGCAGGATTGGAGCCCTCTGCAAGTGTGTGTAGAGGAGGAAGAACTGGATTCCTGGGACAGGAATAACCAGGAGACGGAATAGCTATTGCAGGGGGCATTCTTGCAGAACTGCAGCAATTACACGGCCCTGGCTGGTAACGATCTGTCCTTTCATCAAGGGACTTTATAATGTTACTTGGTTTCGTTGTCAAGATGACTCTTGGTTGTAGTTACTTGTGCCATTTGACAGAACAAAAAACTGAGGACACTGTACTTTAGTGACATCTACCAGGTCACATGTTGGGGCAGCACTAAAGGCTCCTTACACCCCTCCCAACCCCAGGCAAGTCTGCAGGATATTGTATTAGGCATTATGTTGAAACTGATGCCATGAAAACAAGCTGGCAGTTTCTGTTTCTCCTCTGATGCTGCGTGACCTTTGTTCTCACCCCGTAGCCCTTTATCATTGATGGATTCAAGTTTGACTTACGGATTTATGTGCTAATGACATCCTGTGACCCTCTCAGGATTTTTGTGTACAAGGAAGGACTGGCCCGCTTTGCCACGACATCTTACTCCTACCCTTGCTCAGACAACTTGGTGAGCTAAGGGGACACACCACCTAACCCTACCCTTTTAGCATGGTTCAAAATCCTGGCTAAACCTATATTATCAATATATTATGGACGAGGCTATCATTGGCTGAACATTTAATATGTGGCAGCATTGATGGACTCAAGTGTGGCAACAGTAGAGAGGTTGGCCCAGGATTGGGCAGTGTTTCGTTCTGCTGTGCATAAGATCGTTATGGGTCGTTACCGACTCGATGGCACCTGACAACAACAACAAAAGCTTGTATAAGTTCTCTCCTTAAGGAGCGCTCAAAAATAATGATTATTATCCCCATTTTACAAATGAGAAAATTAAGGCCCAGAGAGGGTAAGGGTCTTATCCAAGGTCACACAGCTAGGAAGAAGTGAGGCTGGGACTGGTCGCTGGGTATGCTTGGCTCTAAAACCAGCCCGATGATTCCATGATGCTCAGAGACAAAAGGTCCTAAGCGAGGCCTCAATTTTAGGAGGAGCTGGAATTTCTCATATTGTTCTTATTTTCCTTATTTTGCCAGTTTAAATAAACCCTAAACCATCTCCTTTCTTATTTATCCCTGTAAGCCCCAGGAACCCGGGAGGGCACAGGGAGAAAGCAGGAGACTACCCTTCCTGCCTGATCCCATAAACTTGTGTCTCTTTTCCCAGGATGACATCTGCATGCACCTGACTAATTACTCCATTAATAAACACAGTTCAAATTTCATTCAAGATTCTCACTCTGGCAGCAAGAGGTAAGGAGTAGCTTCATTTTTCTTTCCTTGTCTTGCCAACCTCAGATCTGTCCTCTGGAATACTACCTAAACCCTGTCAGTCCCCAGAGAGGTTTCCACCCTGGGTCATATGGTCTCAGAAAATATTGCTTTGCCTCTAAAGTCAGAACAGATTTCTTCCTTTCTGCTCTCTGTGCTGTTAATCATTAAAAGAAGGCCCCATCGTAAACCCTGGGAGGCTGGGAGGAGGAGAGACAAACACGAGCGGTTTCCCCAGCAAGATACACACAACACACCAAAACATACTCATGTTACTGATGGTCCTTCTAACGTTCCTCCAATCAACAGATATTTATTGATTGCTACTCAGGTACTTTTCCTCAGCCTGTGGGTCCCTGGGGTGTTTCTCCTTTACCATTTCTCAAAGGATAGGTTCCTGTGTCTTAGTGTGGCAGGCCTGGGACTGGCTGGCTTCTAAGATTCCCCAAAAGAAGGAGGAAATCACAAAGAAATATCTTCACAAAGGGGCTTTGGCATCTAATTATCTAATCATATTGCATTCGAATATTAAGAAAAAGGGAGACTGAAGAATCTGAATATGACCAGGTAAAAATGGAAAGGAAAAGGAGAAAGTATTTGTGGTGGCCAATTGTGTATTGAAAGGAGCTGTGGTTAAACCAGTTTACATACCTCAATCCATTACATTCTTCCAGCAGCACAATGAAGTGGGCATTATTGTTATTAGTGCTCCTATTGTATATGGAGGAGCTCTGGTAGCATAGTGGTTATGAATAGGGCTGTGAACCGCAAGGTCAGCAGTTCAAAACTACCAGCTGTTCCATGGGAGAAAGATGAGGCTTTCCACTCCCATAAAGATTTACAGCCTCGGAAACCCAGTGCAGGGTCACTATGAGTCAGAACCGACTCCACAGCACATCACAACAACAACATTGTATATGGAGTCCTGGTGTGGCGCTGTGGGTTAATGAGCTAGACTGTAAGGTCAGTTTGAGCCACAAGGTCAGCAGTTCAAGCTCACCAACTGCTCATTAGAAACCCTATACAGGGTCCCTATGAGTCGGAACCGACTCAACAGCACACAACAACAACAACAACATTTTGTATATGGAGTCCTAGTATGGCACTGTAGGATAAGTACTGTACTGCAAGGTCAGTTTGAACTGCAAGGACAGCTGTTCAAACTCACCAGACTCTTCTCGGAAACCCTACACGAGGTCGCTATGAGTCGGAAATGACTCGATGGCACTTAACAACAACAGCAATTTTGTATATGTGACTCCTAGTGTGGCACTCTAGGATAAGCACTGAACTGCAAACCACAAGGTCGGCACTTGAAACCCACCAGCTGTACCTTGGAAACCCTGTACAGGGTCACTAAGAGTCGAAATCAACTCAATGGCACTTAACAACAACATTTTGTATATAAGGAAACTGAGGCATGGAAAGGCAAAGTAACCTTCTTAAGCTAATAAGTGATAGAGCTGAGACTTATATCCAGGCCATTTGCCTCCTCACTCTGTGCACTTAACCACTAAGTCATACTGTTGTGTTCTGTACT